AGAGAGAGAGAGAGAAACAGAAAACTGAAACCCAAATCCTAAATCCTGGGGAAAACCAAGAGATATTAGTTTCTAGCATTCAACCAAACATGCCACCAATAAACTTCCATGACAGCCATGGAACTCTAGAGAGAGAGAACCATTACATGTTATAGATTATGAAAGGGAGTGAGATTTCTATTGAAAAAAAAACCAGAAAACTCAAATCCAGAATCATGGTGAAAACACACAAATAAATCACAAGCTAATTGATGGGCTCACCTGAAAAAGGAAAAGAATAAGCTTCAATGGAAGATGCTTCACAGTTCAGAAGCCTTGGTTGCTGAAGCTCTCCTAACATAGAGAGAGAGAGAGAGAGAGAGAGAGAGCAATATATTTAGTGAGGAATGAAACCCACTTGGAGAATCCACTTTACACACCATTTATATTGAATTGAACCCAAAATTTTTCTTCCTTTTGAATAAGTGAAAACTGAATTGAACGATATGTGTTGGTTTTTTCCTTTTTTTTTTTTTTTGTTAAATCTTGCAAATGACATGGCGTCAGCGTCAACTGAACTTAGGGCCCAACAAAATTGACCCACAAAGCAAGAATGGAGCATTTTTTTACATGCTGACGTGGCATAGCCGGTAGCTTCCATGTCATCACAAGTGTTTTGTTTTTACAGTGTTGATTTGTTCAGTTACCCCGAGACATTCTTAGGATGTCATGTTTGTAGAATTTACTAAAATACCCTTACCCCTAGACGCTAGGCTATGGACAATATACCTTTCAACCAACCATAGTCATGAAAAGTCTGGTCCTTAGTGTATTATTTTTTTATTTTTATTTATTTATTATTATTATTTTTTGGGTATTTTAGTGGTATTAGTCAAACTTTAGATATAGCTCATTTATTGTGATATTTAAAAACTTAATTTTGACTCTGCCCTTTTAATTCTTTTTTGGCCTTTTGGAATTTGTTTATGAGACAATGTTGCCAAGAAAATGAGGATCAAAAGGTCTGGTTTTTCAACATAGTCCAAATGTTAGCTTTTATTTACAAATTTGAGCCAGCACAAATCACAATTACCTTTTTATTAAAACCCAATTATATCACTTAAAAGGGTGTCGTTTTTATAAGGTTGCAACCTTAAACACAGGTGTGGTCAAACTTTAAACAATCCAATTAAGGTGCCCCTTCAAATTTTATCAAGTAATTTTGATAAAATAATTTTTAAGATTATCTCAAAATCTATTTTCATATTTAATTATAAAATTTTAAAATCCAAAAATAGTTAAAATCAAGTAGATCTATAAATATATGAAAGTTTTGAAAATGGACTATCTATATAATGTATTCCATGATGCACTATTTCTAGGACTCAAAATCTTTTTTTTTTTCATATTCATATATCTCGATGTCGAGATGATCAATTAAAGGCTTTTTCAACATTAAAACAACCTTTTCCGATAGATTTTTTAGGTGCATCTGTAATTCTACATTTTAAGGTTGCAACCTTATATAATCTTTTTCTTACTTAAGAATGTTCCATATAACAACCCATGGAAAGAGATGACCATATGATGGGCGTTTCTTGATATGTACAACATTTGTGGCTATAGTCTCAAAAAGCAAAATGTATTTGGAGTTAAGAAAGATATGACAAAATCACTTAGGTCGGGTATGGGTTTAACATTTGGACCCGGTGGGTTGGGTCCAAGTCCAAAGCTGGTCCCAAACATTATGCAGATTCGGTCCGAGTCTAGTTGGATCTGAATCGTACCCGACCTGTAAACGGTTAGAAATAAAATACTATACTCTAAGCCATATTTATTTGGGCATATTAAGGATCGTGTATTAATTAGAACTAGTTGTCATCTTTAGCTATTAAACGGTAAATCACATGGCTTGAAATCTAACAGTAGGTGATTGTGATATCGTTGTCAATAATATAGGTATATGTTGGTTAAAAAGGGACGAAAAAAAAGAAGAAGCTTATTGTGATAATGACAATGGACCCGAGACCCGACTGGTATGGGTAGGAGTCCAATTTTTGGACCTGACGAGTCGGATCAGAATCCAAAACTTGGACCCGAATTTATTCGGGTTTGAGTTCGAGTCTAACCGAACGTAACCCATACCCGACCCGCTACGACCCCTAGACACAATTGGGTCATTTGATCCGGTTGACAATATAAGATGGACCACATCTGACAAAATAGGCAAATATTGCAACACAAAACTGAAGCCCATAACATAGATCACAAGAAAAGGGAAATTTACTAAAATATGCACTAATGTTTTACTTATTTATCAAAACACACCTAAATTATCAATTGGTATTACCTTGGTGAGATTTTTGAAATGGGTGGTTTTATAAGGTGTCAACCTTAAACAATAATGGTAAGGGGCACACCTAAATCTTGCTAAAAGATGTAGCTTGCTTGTGATATCCTAAAAATCTATTTTCAGACCGATTTTTGAAATTTAAAACTCTAAAAATGATGTTGATCGAACATATTTATAAATAATTTGAAAATTTTGAAAATCAACAGCCTAGATAACGTGTTACAAGATACATGGCGTTTGAGAA